GGGCATTTGATTGCTGAGCCACACTACCTCCATACTGGGGGATTCTAGGCAGGTACTCTTCCACCGAGCCACACCCCAGCCCCTCACTGGGGGATTCTAGGCAGGGGCTCTACCACTGAGCCACACCCCAGCCCCTCACTGGAGGATTCTAGGCAGGTGCTCTACCACTGAACCATACCCTAGCCTCTTTTTACATCAATAAAGAGTAATTTATTTATTTATTTGTTCGTGAGTGTGTGTGTGTGTGTGTGTGTGTGTGTGTGTGTGTGTGTACTACATGTGTGCAGGTGCTCATGGAGCCCAGAAGACAATGTCATTAGTTCCCTGGAGCTACCAGATGTGGGAACTGGGAACTAAACTTGGGTCCTCTGAAAGAGCTGCAAGTTCCCTTAACTTCTGAGCCATCTGCCCAGCCCCTCCTTTTACAGTTTGAAACAGGGTCCCACTGAGTTTCCAAGGTTGACCTTGAACTCTCTGTATGTGGCCCATCCTAGCTTTGAGCGTCTCATCTCTCCACTTGAGCATCTCAGTTTGCCACCTCCCCTTCGCAGGCCTGTATCCCCTGGGCCATCTGATTCCTATATTTCTACCAAGCACACACACAATGGCCATCAGAAGCCCATGCCTCTGTACCAAGGCTGCCAGATGCTTAACCAAATGCTAAGGAGCAAAGCTGGATGCCTGGCTCCGGCTAGCCACCCCAGCCTCTACCCTTTCCCAGCCTCCTCTCTTTCCCTAACTGGCCTCCTAGAGTGTAGCAACAAGAAGTATGACTCATAACACCAGCTGTGTGACCTCGGACAACCTTCCGAATCTCGCAGGGCTGTTGTTCTAGGTGACTGATATCCCCTGAGGAGGTGTATTGGAGATGGCCCTCCAGCACCTGGGGATTCAGTTGTATTGGAAGAAATGGGGCTTTGCAGAGGCAGTTAACTTGAGGTAGGGTCAGGAGGATGGCCAGCTCCGATTCAGTATGACTGCATTTGTGTGGAGGTGGACACAGAGACAGAAGCGAAGAAGGCAGTGTATATGAGGGGCACTGGAATGATTCAGACACAAACCAGAAAGCCAGGGACTGCTGGGAACTAGAAGAAGCCAGCACAGGCCTGTGGGAGGATGCTGCTGGATCACAGTCCTGGCCTCTGGAACTTCAAGGAAACAAATGTTTAGGGTCCTAAGCCTCTGAATGCTCCACTGTGTAACTGCAGTCTTGGAAGACTAATAGTATCAAAGACCGCTCCTTGACAGAGAAACGCTGATGGCTACCTGTGAGGTCGTCATGAGCTTGTGTGAGGTCATTGAAAATGTTTAGTGAGAGCTGGGTGTGGCAGCTCATACCTGTAATCTTAGCACCCAGAGATGAAGGTAGACTTGTCAGTTTGAGGCTAGCCTGGGCTGCAGAGAGGCTGAGACAGAAAGACTGTGAGTTCAAACTAGCTAAGTTTGCAAACTGTCTTGTTAGAAAAAAAAAAGAAAAAAAGAAGAAAGAAAAAGAAAGAGACAGAGAGAGAGAAAGGAAAAAAGGAAGGAAGGAAGGAAGGAAGGAAGGAAGGAAGGAAGGAAGGAAGGAAGGAAGGAAGGAAGGAAGGCTGGCTTAGGGAGATTTTAGGCATGGGGGCAGAGCAAGGGGGCTGCTGGGGTTTCTTCCCCTGACCTGTTGACTACTATCCTAGTCTTGGCATTGAACCACTTCAGCTTTATTCTACGCTATTTTATTTTGCCGGTCATGCCTGGGAGAGAGCCAGAGAATGCAGAGAGGTACATGTAATTTTATGCAGAATCGGAAATGCTATTTAAAAGCTGAGCCAAGAGCACTGAAACTCCAAAGCACTCTGCTCTTTGCTCTCTGCATTCCCTCCCTGCCTCTCTCTCTCTCTGTCTCCCTGTCATTCTGTCTATCTCTCTCTCACAAAAACACCTGTCTCTTTCACACTTGCGCTCACGTGCGCGCACACACACACCTTCGGATCTGATTCCCAGCTCTTATAAAAAACAAGAAAGCAGTTATAGATTCCTTTGCAAAGACACCATCCTGCCCCCCCCGCTTCTCTCCCTCCCCCACCTCATCCACTTCCCTTTCCAAAAGGGTCCAACTTGCAAGGAATCCTAGCTTCTCCGCGGCTCTCTTGCAGCATACTAATTAAATGTTTCAAATGCTCTTTATCCATGGTTAAGTGAAGATAAAATTTTAATGATTTAATTAGCAAGCTCTAGGAAAAAAATCATAATGAAGAGAGGCATTTGCAACTGTCCTGGGCTTTATGCATTTCTGCGCAATGCTGCGCTGGAGGCGGGGGAGGCAGAGCCAAAAATCTTCTTTGCCAGCTCTCTCGAAACAGAGACCTGACTGGTTACTCAGGAAGTGAGAACTTAGGAGCCTGGCTGGGTCTCATTTCTAGAAGTTATGGGAGCAGGGTCCCAGAAAGGGATCCATCCAGGGATGAGGAAGTGACAAAGGGTCTTTCAGAGATGCTCCTGAGACAGGGTATGGTGTAGATCTGTGATCTTGGCACTCAGCAGGCTGGGGAAGGAGGATTGGAAAGTTCAAGCTAGCCTGGGCTACATGGCATGTTCAAGATCAACCTGGATAAAGTGGTGGGTTCAGTTCTCAGTACTGAAAAAAAAATAAGAAAATCAACCCACCCACCAGCTGGGCTTTATAAGCAGACTCTGTCAATCAATAAACCAACCAACCAATCAGCCTGCTAATCAGGCTGGGGAGATGGCTCACCGGGAAAGAGCTTGCTCTGCAAGTGTGGGAACTGGAGTTCAGAACCCCAGCACCCCCACAAGAGCCAGCTGGTCACTGTGGCCCACCTGTAATCTCAATGCTTATGGGATGGAGACAAAGGATCTCTGGAGCAAGGTAGTTCACTAGACTCCCTGAATTAGCAAGCTTCCCGTTCTGTGAGAGACCCTGCCTCAGCAAATAGAGTGTAGAGCTATGGAGGAAGACACCTGACTTGAACCTCTGGCTTCCCCGTACATGTGCATATACATGTGTGACCATTCCTACATGAGGCACACCGCCACGCACATACGGAAGCTAAACAAGTAAATAAATAGAGCTCTGCAATAAGTCCACGTTATTTGGCATTCTAGAAACAGACCCCTTTCCCACGCCTCCCCCCAGATGTTGCGAGCTCTCCCTTCTGGGAGGCGCTTTCTCCTGTTTACTGTGGTTGCGCATTTCCAGCTACATCCACGGTCAGAGTTCAGCAATAGAAAACTTGCGGCTTTGGGAAGATGGGATTTGGGAGGAAAAAAAAATTAATTGTCTTGTTTGAAGAATTTTTGTGTTGGAAACCTCTATAGGAACCCATCTTTCAGAATGGATTATGTGTGCACGTGTGTGAGAGAGAGGGGGTGTGTCGAAGCCGATAGGGCAGCCAGCAGGGGTATCGGCATAGTTCTGTGGTAGTGTGTTGGCCTGCCGTGTGCAAGGCTCTGGCTTCCATCAGCAGCACTGTAAATAAAAAGATGAAGGAGGGAGAGGAGGAAAGAGAGAAGGGACAGGGGAGAAGGAGGAAAAGGGGGAGAAGGAGGTGGAGGAGGAGGAAGAGACAACAGAGGAGGGAAGGAGGAAAAAAGGAAGGAGGGAGGAGGAAGAAGGGGAGGAGGGGAGGAAGAGGAGCAGGGTGGGGGAAGAAGAGGTGGGGTGGTGGGGAGAAGGAGGGGTGAGGAGGAAGCTGCTGCTGATATGAGAGCACCCCCATCTAAATGACTGTGCTTGCTCCCAAGTCCCTACCCTGTGCTGCTCACCCCACTCTTCACCATTGGGGTCCTTTACACACCCCTTTCTATTTACCCCTACCTGGAGACCCACAAGTTCCCCCAAATGGCTTCAGAGAAAGCAGAACATGTGGCTTTTATTTGGCAGAAGACAGCACGTCCTGAAAAGCCAGTGGGTAGCATCTTCCAGGCCAGCCCTGGCACTGGGAAAGACAGTGTGTGCCCAGCTGCTTGGAGAATTGGCTACAAGAGGGGAGTCCCTGGTGCCCACGCCTGGCAACAACCAGACTCAACGAGGAATACTTTCCTGGTCTTCCTGGAATACATGCTGCTGCTTATTTGGAGATGCCCACTGTACCTGCCCTAGCCAAAGCCTCTGACCATGTCCCACAGGTGGTGAGGACACGGACCCAGTACATACTGTAATTCTCCTGCCTTTGCCCAGGGAAATACATGTCAGTGGTAGAGCACCTGCCTATAATCCCCCAGTGAGAGACTTGGATGTGACTCAGTGGTAGAGCACCTGCCTAGAATCCCCAGTGAGGGGCTGGGTGTGGCTCAGTGGTAGAGCACCTGCCTAGAATCCCCCAGTGAGGGGCTGGGGTGGGGCTCAGTGATAGAACACCTGCCTAGAATCCCCAGTGAGGGGCTGGGGTGTGACTCAGTGGTAGAGCACCTGCCTAGAACCCCCAGTGAGGGGCTGGGGTGTGACTCAGTGGTAGAGCACCTGCCTATAATCCCCCAGTGAGAGACTTGGATGTGACTCAGTGGTAGAGCATCTGCCTAGAATCCCCCAGTGAGGGGCTGGGGTGTGACTCAGTGGTAGCGCCCCTGCCTAGAATCCCCCAGTGAGGGGTATTGGTCAACTCCTCAGTGCACATGCACACACATATGTTCAAACGTACACAAATTAAAAAATACGATATTTTTCTGGGAAGGCATCATAATAAAACATCTACTTACCCAGGATTGGGCACCAACAATTCTGTCAGAGTCCAACTTGACTGACTGGGTGTGGGGGGGGGGTTTCTTACAGAGCACAGGTGGAGGGTTACAGAGCATGAGTGGGGGATTACTTACAGAGCATGGGTCAGGGGTTACAGAGTACGGGTGGGGTTTATTTATAGAAGTATGTGTAACCCCTAAACAGCTAGATCACTGAAAATTCTCACTTCCTGTATAGGTGAAAATGACTTACCCACAGCTGCATAGACGAGTCTGCCACCCTTCGGTTGACTCTCTCCACTTTGTATACTCTATCCCATCAGAGAACACAGAACCGCTGGGGCAGAACTACATACACTTGGGAGAGGGCCGACTCTCAGATGAGGATCTCATGACCCGTCCCATGACCTCCTTCTATGAAGAACTGTCAATAACCCTGACGTTGAGTGTCACGGATGCTGTCATGGAGATGGTAATGGCTGTTATCATTGAAGGATGGAGTTCTACAACAGACAGGGGTCTCCACGTGGTCCAGGTTAGCCTTTTGTTCCTCTCAATTCTGTTTCCTGGGGACTGGGGTGACCGGTATGTACTACCATGCCTGGATTCTTTTCTTCTTGTCAGTTGTGTCTATCCCCGTGTCTTACTACACCTGATTAAACAAGTCCTGAGCAAGAGAGACAATACTGAGCACTGCCTAAGGATGCGCTGGCCTCTGGAGCCAAAAGCATCTAAAGTGCATTGCTCACGGTTTGTATAGACATATAAACACATGTATTTTTTTTTGTGTGTGTGCACATGTGCTTGTATATGTGCGTGCCACAGCATGTGGACGTCAGAGGACAACTGGCGGAAGTCAGTATGCTCCATCCCTCACGTAGGTTCTGGGCACCAAACTCAGGTCAACCAGGCTTAGCAGTAAGCTGCTGTTACCCACTGAACCCTCTCACCAGCTCCCAAACATCTGAGAAGTAATGAGCCTATGCATTCAGTAGCTCTCAGTCAATGACTGGCATATATAGACACATGCTTATTTGATATATTCAGCATACTATATTTAATATAAATACATATTACAAAATACAATATAAGCATAACTATAAACATTGTACTCAGTGCCAGCCAGTCTGAAACAGCTCAGCTTGGAGGCTTATTGTGCTGTGCAGTTGAGGCTCAGTTTCCACAGTTACTAACTGTTGTCTTTACTGAGTTCCCTCTCTGGCCTCAGTGTCTCACCCTCTATCCAAGCTTCCCAGAGTCGCCACCCAAGGAAGACCCTGCATTCACATTGTGTCTTCAATGTTTGTTCCACAGAAATTCACACAAAGACAATGAGTGACCAAACAAACCTATGTCATTCTAAGATACCCATGGAGGGATGTATGCCCTAGGGGTGGTTGTCCAAGCAACCTGAAGGCTCACAAGCATTTTCTTCTATCCTGGAATTTGGTTGCAAGATTTAAGGTGGTTCAATTAGATTTTTTTTTTAATTCAAGCATAGATACGGGACTTACTTGACACTATTTGAAAGTATTCTTACTAATTTTTAGAGGATCTCATATGATGCACTTTGATCATGTTCAACCCCCTCCAACTCCTCCCACCTCCACCCTATCCACCATTACATTCCTCCTCATCCAGTTTTAAGTTTTATTCCCCACCCTATTGAGTCTAGTTTGTGTAGGGCACCCTGGCCTGTGGGGTCAGTCTACGAGGGGTCACACAATTAAAGAAAACCGATTCTTTCTCTCTCAGCAGCTCTCAAACGCCAATAGCTCCTCAGCTAGAGGTGGGGTTCAGTACCTACCTCCCCGTCATGCTGGAATTTTGTCTGAATTGAGCTCGCACCATTCCTAGGCATTGCTGTTGCAATTCCTGGGAGTTCATTTGTGCCATTGTCCTGTTGTGTTCAGAAAACACTGTCCCCGTGATGGTATCTGCTGCCTCTAGTTCTGACAATCTTTCTGCTCCCTCTTCTGCAACGAGCCTTGAGGTTAGTAAGGAGAGGTGTGATATGTATACATTTGTCTACGGTCTCTTATCCAGGACATGTTGATCAGTTGATCGTTTCTATGACATACAATACAACTATGGCGTGTGTGTGTGTGTGTGTGTGTGTGTGTGTGTGCGTGTGTGTGTGTATGCTCCTGAGGAGGTCAGAGAACAACTTTGGGTGTCATTCATCAGAGGCTGTTCACCTCCTTTGAGACAGGGTCTCTCATCGCTCTGGAGCTTATCAAGTTGGCTAGATGGTCAGTGTACATCAGGGATCTTCCTGTCTCTACCTCCCCAGCACTAGAATGACCAGCACAGGCCACCATGCTAGGCCTTTTTATGTGGGTTGTAGGGATTAAACTCAGGTCCTTACACTTGCAAGGCAAGTACTCTATTGGCTGAGCATCTCCCCAGTTCGTTTACTTGATACATCAGGGATAAGGGGTACTGAGTGCTGTTGAGGTGGAGATGGCGCAAAGGCATCCAGAAGAATGCAATGCTCAGCCCTGGACAGCTGCTTGGGTGTATTTTTGACACGTTAATACCCAGATGCACTTTTCATATCTCAGGAATGAACTACCCTGTTTTCTGCTGCTTGTGTGGGTCAAGAACCTCTAGACAGGGTCCAGTCCAGAAAGATAGGCAACAAGGGTGTGAGTTTCCCTACCTCCTTCCTTGTACGGTCCTGCGGGGACAGTTGTGTCCCTCCAAAGCACCTAAGAGCATCTCAAAGTAGCCGTATCTGTGGGACCTCCTCCTTTCAGAATTGGGTCTTTCTTTGGAGGCGGTCCTGCTGCACCAGCCACGGTCTGTTGTATTCCTAATGTGGATTCCTGGCAGCCTTCTTGTCTGACATAGAAATTTGCAGCAGGGTCTCACATAGCCCAGATTGGCACTGAACTCTCCGTGTGGCCAAGGAGAATGTCTGATTCCACGTTCTATGTGGAATGACATAGAACATGACAGGTGTGAGACACCACACGTGGTTTATGCAGTGCTGGTTATTAAACCCAGGGCTTCATGTGTATGAAGTAAGCACTCTACCAAATGAACTACATCTTTAGCCCCTTCTCGTTCTTTCTAAGCAGCTTCCCTTTTCCAGCCCACCTTCAATTATCTTGAGCTTAGCACGCCGTCTTTCCTGGTGTGTCCTGACAGAGGTGCCCCTTTCATTAGATCTGCAGGTTACTGCCCTTTGCAATCAGACATGTGACCTGGGGCTTGAGGCACAGGAAGCAAGGACCCCTCAAAGCCCACACTTGAAAGTAATATTGAAATTAGGGGTCCTCTTCAGGAGGAATTGGCTCTCCTGGGCCTGTTTTTACCTTCCCTCACGGACCCAGTCCTTTGTTTCAGAGTGGAAGGACTGAAGGACGAGATATTTATGCCAAGACGCCTTTTCTTGTCATTAATATGTTAACAAATGCTGTCAAATAGCAGTCGCAGTCCACAGACTCCGCCGCTGGCAGAGACTGCCTGCTGCCAGACAAGGTTGAGTCTGTCGTACACAAGCCTGGCTTCCTCTGCCAGGAGGTCTTGGCATTGGAGGTCACCGAGTCCCGCTGTGGGACCCACCTACCCCGTCAACGGTGACAGTGTCTCATGTGTGAATAATGTTTTCTCAGAGTGATGCTGAATTCCTTCCTGCCAGAGAGAGGTGGGACACAGTCGGAGGAGCAAGCGCCAGTTCACGCTACGAGGAGGGGAGAGGCGGGGAGAGGAGGAAGAGAGAGAGAGGAAAGCCAAATGCAGGGGTGAGATGGGGTGAGGGCTGGATGGCCAGAGCCAGACATGAGAGGTGCTACAAGCTGGAGAAAGGCTCAAGGGAGATGGAAATGTCAATAGAAGGGAAATTGATGGACTGGGAAATCAATGGCGGCGCTGCAGGGGCTTAGGAAGCCAATACTGGGACGGCATGCAGAGAAGCTACCAAGGCGGGTGTGCTGAGAGGTGCGAGCGAGCCAAGTATGTGGAGCGGGAACCCTGTACATCGGTGGGAAGAAGCGTAGCAGGTACCTGCTGCTGAAGGAATCGCCGCTCAACAAATGACCCCAAAGCTCAGACGCTGTGAACAGTCGTTCATCACGCAGTTTGGGAAACACTAGATGAATGTGATAGCTCGCTTTGTCTACTTAACACAACCCAGAACAGCCTGAAAAGAGAGTCGAAGTGTTTTTTTAAAAACAAAGAAAAATATCCATAGTCCATTTTTTTTTTTTATGGAATGTGGGCATAGTTTTTCAGGCTACTTTCTGCTGGTTGGGGGCGCTGATAATCTTATGGGGACCTAAAGAAAATTTAGAATTATGATCAAGTCCTGACTGGAGTATCCTGTGAGTCTTGATCATCTCAGGCAGCAGTGTTGAATCCGTTCTGGATGTAGAACTCAGACACTCGGGCCATCTGTTTCTACCAGAAATTTCTCAGCAAGTCTTCCTTGATCAAACCTGATTTTTCTTAACTCAGAATGAATCCACAGCCTCTCATTTCCTATGGAAACAAAAGTAAAATTTCTTCTCCAAAGTAACATACCTTTTGACTTCAATTTTGAAGTCAAGGTATTTTCAAAATACGTATTTTGGATTAATTTAGCAGCATTTATAAGCAAATATCTTTTAGCAGCTGTTGCTCCTTCCTCAGCGTTCAAACAATTTAAAGAGAACTTAATAACATACAGTATCAAGATTCTCTGTGTATTTTTCATCTTTACATGACTTTATTTTAACTTCTATTTCTTTTATTTTTACTTTTAACTTTTGGCTTTTTGAGACAGGTTCTCTGTGTATCTTTGTCCTGGAACTCCCTCTGTAAACCAGGCTGTCCTTGAACTCACAGAGATCTGCCTGTCTCTGCCTCGCCAGTGCTGGGATTAAAGGCGTGTGCTACCACACCTTGAAGTCACAGAGGTCAGTCTACCTCTGTCTCCCAAGTGTTAGGATTAAAGGTGTATACCACCACACCCAACTACTCTCTTTCTTTCTTTTTTCTTTTAAGTATTTTAACCTTTTTTTTTTCAAACCTGCCAGGCCCTGCAGCCGGAAGAGTCTGCAGCCTCCTCAGACAGCGCCACCATCTGGAGACCAAGTGTTCAAACACATGCCTGAGGCAGAGGGCAAGGATCCCTTTCAAACCACAGAGCAAGGGCTCAGGGGACCTGGGAGATCCACAACGGGGCACTCTATCCTGACAAACTGACACGTGAGTGTAAATATAGGAACTGAGCTGACCTTGAACTCACGGTCCTCCTGTCTCGTCTCAGCTGAGTGCCTGGGATTACCTTTCCACCTTGTGAGGTCACCACTGGATTACAAATTCTTCCAGAGCAGAGCTCTATGGCTTTCTCGCTGTGACCAGCCCTGCCTCCCCAAGAGACCAGCTGTTTGGTGATCCCGATGCTTTCTATGAGCCGCCTTTGTTGTGAGATGCTGTGGAAAGAGGAGACATTGGGCTATTCCTTTTGGAGGTCTCTGTGTCATCCCGGAATTTAGCATCCTGTACATTTAAATGGCTAAGGAATGGGATGTAAGGAGGCAAAACTTTTACGTTCCTTTAGATGTGAGCAGAGGGCTTGAACAAATCTGATAGTGGGCTGCTAGTCTCGGAAAAGATCTCTAATTAAAATAAAACAAAGCAAAACAGAACAAAACAAAACACACACTGTGGGGATCAGGTGGAGAAAAATCAATGTAGTTCCAAATGCAAACCTTTCCTCATGTTCCAATGGGATCTTGTGCAGTCCAGGCTAGTCTTGAACTCACTATGTAACTAAGGATAACCTTGAACTTCTGATGCTAGTCTTGAACTCACTATGTAACTAAGGATAACCTTGAACTTCTGATGCTCCTGCCTCCTTCTCCCAAGGGCTGGGGTTACAAGCGTGTGCCACCACACTCTGGGTTATGCACTGCTAGGGATGGAACCCAGGTTTTTGTGCATACTAGATGAGCATCCTGCCAACTGAGATACGTCCTTGGCCATAGATATTTTAAGAAGAGGTTTTGTGTCTATGCTTGTGTGTGCCTGTGCATGTGGATACATGAACATCCATGGATCTGTGTGCACGTGTGTGGAGGCCAAGGACAACCTCAGTTGTTATTCCTTAGATGCTGATAACCTTGGAGTTTTTGAGACAGAGCCTCTCACTTGCCTAGAACTCACTGATTGGGCTGATCTGATTGGTCAGTGAGCCCTCCGAGATCCTCTAGTGTCTGCTTCCGCTATAAGCCTGTGCTACCATATCCAGCCCTTTTCTTGTTTAATATGGGTTCCGAGGATCAAATCTGGCTCCTCATGCTTACAAGGCAAGTGCTTTACCAACTCTGCAACTCTTAAAAGCTTAAAACTCTTAAAAGCTCCCTTTATTTATACAACTCATCAAGCTCTAAGACTCAAAACACATCTGCACCCGATGGCCGCTTTCCCCAAGACTAAAGTTTCTGTGTTTGTGTTCTCTCTATAATGAACTTACAACTTGGCAAGAAGAACTCAGTGACCCCTTGACCTTGAACTTCCAGGTCCAGACCCAAGAGGTCACAATGAAACTTGTTCTCTGCCCAGGAGCATTGCTGGGCACAGCCCACCTGTGCAGAATCCTAGGGTATCCCCACAACACATCCCTCACGGTGCCCCATCCCTACACAGGCACGCTGTCACAAATAATCCATTAAACCATACTTATGGCAAGTTATTTCAGTGCTGGGTTTTGTTACCCTTAAAACACTGAAGAAGATGAAATTGTGTGTCAGGTTTTCATCACTGTGACAGAAATACCTGAGAAAATAGCTTAGAAGAGGAAAGCGCCGTGAGGAGACAGCTCACTGGATACACGGCTCGTGTTACATATGTGGGGACATGAGTTCAGTCCCCGGCACCCATGTTAAAAAGCCACACGTGGTGGAAGGCAGAGACTGGAGGAGACCTGGGCCTCACCGGCCAGCCTGTAGCCTACTTGGTGAGTTCTAAGCCACTGTCTCAACAATCACGGTAGGTAGTATTCTGAAGAAGGAGAAGAGATAGGGGCCTCTGGCCTGTACACACATGTACACACATCTGGTTACACATAAGACTACTGTCCACACATGAACACACACATGCAAATAAATGCTCGAGCAGGATCTCAGGTTTATTTCTGCTCTTCATAGCCCAATTCAGAGTTTTTCACTGAACCGGACGCTACCATTTCAGCTAGGCTGGCCAGCCAATGAGCTGTTCAGATCTGTCTGTATCCGTCTTTCAGTGATGGGGTTACAGGCACACACAACCATGTCTGGCTTTTGATGAGGGTGCTGGAGATTAAACGCTCATCCTCATGCTACAGAGTAAGCAACCCTACCCATGGAGCCATCTCCCCAACCCCTGACAGCACTCAAAAAAATAAAACTGCACTATCTACTATGAAAGGGTATCTCTTGTTTTGTTTATCTATGACTGTGTGTGTGCTTGCATGCCTCCACACACATGCCTGTGTGTATGTGCACGTACATGCACATGTCTGTGTGTGCAAGCATGTATATGTGTTTATGTGTGTATACATGCATGCATATGTGCATCTGTGTGTGCACGTTTGCCTGTATAGATGTGTGCATGTGTGTGTGTTTGCATACATGCACGTGTGTGCTTATGCTTGTGCAATCATGTGCATGTGCTTATGTGTGTATGCATGTATGCATATGTGTGTCTGTGTATGGATGTGTTTGCTTGTGTGTATGTGTGTGTGCACATGTGTGATTGTGTATATATGTGTGCATGTATGCACATGCTTGCTTTCAGAGGACAACCTTGAGTGTCATTCCTTAGGTGCCTTCCTTATTGACCTTGTTTTGGGTCTTTCATGGGCCCTAAACTTCACCAAGCAGGCTAGGCCACTGGCCAGCAAACGCCAGGGACCCACTGTCCGCCTGTCATCTTGCCATCCCTAGGATTACAAGTACTTGTCACTGCGTTTAGCCTTTTACTTTGGTTTTTGGACTTGAACTCAGGTCCTGACATTGGCACAGAGCCCCAAGTCTCCTATTTTCTTACCTTGCATCTCAACTTTTGCCCCCAGACTCCCCTGAGTATACATTCATATTCTCCTCCTAGGCCAGACTGGAGGAGGACTCACTCTGTGCTCCATGCTCCTCTCTTCCGTCCTCCCTGGGAGTCCTGGGAAGGTCTTTTGCTTGTCATTCTGACTCCTGGACCTTTCTCAGGTTGCCCCTTTGAAATCCTAATTGGAAACTTGTGACCAACAAACAGAATTCTTCACCTCAGAACATCCATCACAAGCTGCCTATGAGCCCTGATAGAGTCGCGGGGTTCGGATTAACAGTGAACACCCAGCTGTAAATTTTGCTCAGGGATTTTTTAATCAGGGAGGGAGCCATGTATTCACAGACTGACACTCAACTTTCAGGGGTGTCCTCTGGAAGATTTTCGCTAAGCTTCCCATCTGTTTCGCTGCTGCTTCTCAGCCTCCTGCTGCTCCCGGTGGGAAACTGGCTGGGAGACCGCAGTCCGTAAATTAGGAATTGGGAACAACCTGTTTTCTTTGCTCCGCTTAAACTGACATTTTACCCAGCCCTCCCCGCTCCCACCTTGCCCCACCCTCTCCTCTACCAAGGCTGGTCTTTAAATAGCATTTAAAAGGGGCAAAACACTGAGGTGCCTCATGATGGGATGGGATAATAGGTTGGAGTAGATGCGGAAACTCCTAGAACACACATCCTTCCTCCGATCCCGTCCATTATGCATTTCATCAGTGGGACCCAGGGTTGTTCTACATCTCTGTCAGCACCCTCCCCCCAAGAAGGGGCTGGTGTTTCCTGCGTTAATACTTGCCCAATTCACAGTCATCATCTGTCTAGATGACGTGAGGACGGACACCAGGAAGGGTCCAGCAGCTCAGTGCTCTCGGTTGCCCCTGGCTATCAGGGTTCAGGACCCACACATGCTTCATCAAGGGGGCAAATGGTCTACAGGAGGACTTCCTGTCCACATTGACAGACAAAGCAAAAGGGACTGGAGAGGCTGTGGGGAGGGTCAGGGCCATCCTGTAATGCCCCTGGGGTCACTGTCACCTAGGAAGGGGCCATTTATCTTGCTCGCAAACCACAGCAAGGGACACTGTAGGCTGAGCCTGACACCCGGAGCAATTGACAATTTCATATTTGTTCTCTTGTGAGCTCCATGGCAAGGAAGAAAAATAATGCTCAAGTGGGAGAGAGGAAGCCAGACCTGTGCGGTTAGAGGCGGAGTTCTGACCGTGTGCTGATTTGGCTTGCTTTTCCTCTTCTGAGTTTCTGTAGTCACACTGTGTGAGCGCACCTCTTCTGAGTTTCTGTAGTCACACTGTGTGAGCGCACCTCTCGTGTAAGTTCCTGCTTGAGGAGCAGCCGGGATGAAGTAGAACTCAGGTGCCCGTGAACTTTTCCTGATTGGAGCATCTCTCCTAAGTGCAGAAGTAGCAGGCTCACATCCTAACACATACCCACGGGCGGGAAAGAGGTGGCATCAAAACCCCACGTGCCACCACTGCTGGGAAATCTTGGTCCAAAAGCAAAGACAGATGAGAAAAATCGATGGTTGGCTTTAAGCTTCGAAAGGTCCTTCTCAAGCATAATATTGACTCTCTGAGAATTTTTGACTTTGCAGGACTTTGGAATCTAAGCTTCAAGGAAACGTACATCTGTGATTCCGACTACTGATGGCCACCGCAAGTACCCTGGTATTATAACGTGGGCTACTAGTGAGACTCGGTCTCAACAATACCAAAGACAAGGGCTGGGGGAGATGGCTCAGTTGGTAAAGTGCTTGCAATACAAGCATGAGGGACTGAGTTCAGATCCCCAGCACCCATGTAAAAGGCCAGGTGTGACTGTGGTCACCCCTAAACCTAGCGCCGGGCAGGTCGTGACTGGAGGACCTAGGTGCTTGCTGACCGGCCAGGCTAACTAACTCAATGAAAACCAGGTTCAGTGAGAGGCCCCTGGTGCTAGTTTAACTTCTCATTGCTGTGATAAAAAAATATCTGAGAGGAAGCATTTTAAGAAAGGAAGGGGGCTGGAGAGATGGCTCAGTGGTTAAGAGCATTGCCTGCTCTTCCAGAGGTCCTGAGTTCAATTCCCAGCAACCACATGGTGGCTCACAACCATCTGTAATGAGGTCTGGTGCCCTCTTCTGGCCTTCAGGAATACACACAGACAGAATTATGTATACATAATAAATAAATAAATATTAAAAAAAAGAACTAAGATTTAAAAAAAAAAAAGAAAGAAAGAAAGGAAGGGCAGACTGTGGCCCACAGTTCTAGGCAGCTATAGACCATGTTGGTTATTCTTCTGTTCCTGTGCTAAAGCACCATGACCAGGGCAATTTATAGGAGGAAGAGTTGATTTGGCTTATCATTCCAGAGGGAGTCCATGGTGACGGGGAGGAGGCGTGGCAGCAGATGGTTGGAGCAGGAAGCTTGAAAGATCACATATTCAGCCAGGCAGTTGAGTCACACGCCTTTAATCCCAGCACTCAGGAGGCAGAGGCACGTGGATCTCTGTGAGTTCAAGGCCAGTCTGGTTGACAAGAGCTAGTTCCATGAAAGGTGCCAAAGCTACAGAGAAACCCTGTCTTGAAAAATAAAAACAAAAACAAAAAACAAACCCAAAAAAGATCACATATTCAACTGCAAACAGAAAGCAGAGTGAACCGAAAGTGGGGAAAGGCTGTAAATTCTCAGAGTTATCCCCATTGCCCTAATTCCACCTCCTAAAGGGTCCACAAACTCCCAAACAGCACCACCAATTGGGTATCAGGTGTTCACATACCTGTGGGGACATTGCTCATCCAAACCACTACACTGACCATGGTGGCAGGAGGTGATTGGATATAATGCATATGTAGTGAGGAAACATAGAGACCCCACTTCCCTGTGACCCCTTCCTCTAGTGAAGCTCCATTTTCAAATAGTTCTACAACCTTCCCAAACAGTCCCACCATCTGAGGACCAAGTGTTCAAACCCATAAGGTTATGGGGGACATAGCACCTTCAAACCACAATACCCTGTGTCCGTATTTCTTCTCTGTTGCTGTGATAAAGGCGACAATAAGGTCTTAGAGGGGAGAGGGCTTGCTCAGCTCACAGTTCTTCGGTGGTGGAAATCAGTCTGGAACTTGAAGCAGCTAAGTCACATTACATCCACAGTTAGGAGCAGCAGATGAGGAATTAATTGCACGCATGTTTGCTTGTGCTCCACCCCTCTCTATACTCATACAGTTTAGAAGCCAAACCAAGGGAATGGCATCATGCACAGCGGGCTGCGTGTCCCACATCAGTTAAGGCAGCCCCTTACAGACATACCCACAGGCCAACTTGATCTAGACAATCCCTCATCTCGAGCCTTCTTCACTCTGGTGATCCCAGATGATGACAAGTTGGTAATGAAGACGAATTGTCATATCTACCATAAAAAATAAGGCAGAGAGAGATGGAAGGAGATATCTAATATTAATACCATGCACGCACACACACACACACACACACACACACACACACACGTATGCATCATGTGTATAACAGCAGTACAGGTATAGAAATCACTCTTAGGAGGATGCACAAGTATTGTCAACAGTCTCTAGGTATCTGAGGAGGAGGTCAGAGGTCAGGAGAGGGTGGTAACTTTCTCTTGCCATATATGCCCCCTCTTGTGATATTTAAAAGTTTACTCCATGCAAGCCCAATTAAACATTTTCTTTTGTTCCATGGGTGGCAAGGTTATTCTCAGCTCATGAGCTGATTTTCAGTTTGTACAACCGGAGGATGGATTTGGTGATTATTAAATGAAAAAGAGAAAAGCAATTTCTTGCAAATTGCTAGCTGCAGGGAGTGGGGGCATTTAGGCTGGTTTCTTTCAAGGGGAGCGTTCTGTGATGAGAACAGAAGCCAGCTTACTCTTTTCAGGGGGTCAACAAAGGCTTCACATGGGTTCCTGTAAATTGCCTCGTGTTGGGTGATGTGGGGTGCCCTGACACCAGCAATGAAGCAGTAGGCATTTATTTTGAGTGGGCAGATGCTTGCTGCTGGCTGCAAGCACACATGCCACACCTTGCCCCAGCTTGAGTGATGGACACAGGCTGGGAAGTGTTGGCTTCACCCCCAAAACTCTTTTTGGAGAAACTAAGCATATGCATTGGTAATGCTCGTGTTTCTGCAATCTCATTTCAATCCATTGAGACGGGGAGTTCATGACTGTCTTCCCTGATGGATGGAGAAAATTAGGCAAATACTTTCAATAGTTTGTCAGGGGACGTGAGCTTTTGGTGTTAGAGTGAGCAAGCCCTACCCTTTCCTGCCAGATTTTTCGCTGTGTCTTTGTGTTTCTTTGGAGTGGGCTATCGAAGGTTGGGAGCAAGCCAGTAGGGTCTACACT